CCCATTTATCTGACCCAAAGAACAACCTTCTTGGAGCAGGGCTCTGGAGGGTAGCAGGGGGTACAGGGGGTGTCAAATACCTTGGCTATGCCCAGCAGCAGCTCCAGATCCACCAGGAGCATGTGGACATCTCGGTGGAACACAGCCAGCTCAGCCCGGCTCAGCTGGAACATCTTCTCAGGATCAGGGGCTGCAATGATGCTTCCCTTCCCGGCCCCCAGGAGCCCATTGCAGGCTACTTCCACATAGAGGGTGAGGCTACAAACATGGGGAGACAGCCTCAGGCTAAGGGACTGGCACAGCACTCTGGGGACTTGAGGAGGGGACACCCAGGAGGCATCCAGCTGAGGCCAACCTGTCTGCTTTCAGGATCCACTACCCAGAGTATCCCACAGTGTGTCAAGAGCGCATGTGGGAGGGTTGGGGTACAAACACCAGATGGATCCTATGTCCTGCTGTCAGAGAGAATAAGTAGCAGTTTGGAATCATGTAAATTACACTGCTGTTTAGTCTTATATTTCCAAAGTTGTCTTTGCAAAGCACTGCCTTGGTCTTGGAACCCTCTTTGCATATTAAAAGCATGTTCGGATCTCCCAGGCTTGAACTTTTAGACCCAAGATCTAAAACCAACATGGCTAACATGGGCGGGCCATTCATTGGAGAATAGGCTAGGCTGTGGTGATGCCATACTCAGGCTTCAGAGAACAAACACGACTTCTTTAGGGAGGCCTTGCTGACTCCACTTCCCCACTAAGTCTAGAGCAAATTCCTCAGTGGACTACCCAGGATTTTCTTCCAGAGCCTTCAGCTTTGTAATTATATGAGTAGACCTGTCTCCCTTTGTTGGCAAGGACTATTTTATTCACCACCATACTCCCAGTGTCTGGAAGCATCTGAAACAGTGTTCAATCAATATAAAATACAATAATAACGTCTAAGAAGTGTTTTTAATGGTGTCATAAAATGTCCATGTTATAACATGGAATGTAAGAAGTCAGGATACAATCTCAACTAGTAAAAACTACACCAGGATGAGTCGGGCTCAGTGGCTCATGCCTGTAATCCCAGCACTTTGGGAGGCTGAAGTGGGTGGATAGCCTGAGGTCAGGAGTTTGAGATCAGCCTGGCCAACAGAGTGAAACCCCATCTCTACTAAAAATACAAAAAATTAGCTGGGTATGGTGGTGGGCACCTGTAATCTCAGCCGCTAGGGAGGCTGAAGCAGAAGAATTGCTTGAACCTGGGAGGCGGCGGTCGCAGTGAGCCGAGATTGCGCCATTGCACTCCAGCCTGGGTAACAAAAGTGAAACTCCGTCTCAAAAAAACAAAACAAAACAAAACCCAAAAAAACCAAAAAAAACCTATGCTGGAAAGATACACCAAGAACATGAATACTGGGCGCGGTATAATAATGGACTGGGCGCGGTAGCTTGCACGTGTAATTTCAGCACTTTGGGAAGCTGAGAAGGGTGGATTACCCGAGGTCAAGAGTTTGAGACCAGCCTGGCCAACATGGTGAAACCCTTTCTCTACTAAAAATACAAAAAAATAGCTGGGCGTGGTGGCACACACCTGTAATCCCTGCTACTCAGGAAGCTGAGGCACGAGAATCACTTGAACCTGGGAGGTAGAAGTTGCAGTGAGCTGAGATCACACCACTGTACTCCAGCCTTGGCGACAGAGGGAGACTTTGTCTCAAAAAAAAAAAAAAAAAAAAAGAATATGAATGCTGAGATGTTAATAATGTTCATCTCTATTCTAGGGAGTGGAATAACAGTAGTTATTTCTTTCTTTGTGCTTTCCTGTATTTACCACAAGGCAAACATTATTATTTTTGAGACAAAGTCTCACTCTGTTGCCCAGGCTGTAGTGCAGTGGTGTGATCATGGCTCACTGCAGCCTCGGCCTCCTGGGCTCAGGTGATCCTCCCACCTCAGCCTCCCAGGTAGTGTGGGTCACTGCAGCCAGCCCATTATTTTTATGGTTAGGAAAAAATCATGCTTTTAAAAGCAAACAATGAGATGTGAGGATGATTGTGCTGGAGCAGAGGGGTGCTTCTGAGATCACTCTGGGCCTCAGCTCCTCCTTGCTCACTGGTACTCCCTCCCTGACAGCACTGGTCAACCAGGGCACAGGGACTCACCTTCGGGGGTCTCTTTCCCCCAGCCTGTCAGTCAGGACATAGCTGGTCTTCTCACCCTCTTTGGTTAAACCCTAGTAGGGAGGGGAGTGAGAGAGACAAGGCTTGAGGCCTTTGGACAGTTCAGATAAAGTGTAAGCCATTGGGAGACAGGTCCCTCCATCTGGTCCCCAGCTCTGGGTCCTCTCTCCCAAGCAGAGCCAAGATTGGCAAATCAGGGACCCTTGGCAGTAGATGCCCCAATTCCCATGGCAGCCAGCACCATGAGCACCAAATAGCCCCTGTTTACCAGTGGCAAAGCCATGCTCTTATGGGAAGGGCCCTGGAAAGGGGTTAGGCGGCCTGAGTGTGGATTCTGGTGGCCTCTGCACCCCCAAATAAATACCTGAAAAGAAACTCCATGAAGTTAAGGGCAGGTTTGCCTCATTCTCTGCCACACCCTAGTGCTTAAGGGTATGGCCCAGAATGGACACCAGGGGATATTTGCTGAGTCAGTGAAGGGAGGGAGGGGAGGTCTCTGCCTTCTTATAGCCAGGAAGAACAGTCTTAACCCCAGATTGAGAGTCAATCCAACTTGAAATGGAAGCTGTGTGAACCTGAGTGAGTGAACTAACCTCTACACATCTCAGTTTCTTAATCTGTAAATGGGTATAAAGACCTACTAGATAGGAGAATAAGGACTAAACCTGATAAGGGTGGAGCATGAACAAGACACTTAACAGTGGTTATAGCTGGGGAATGGGATGGGTGATAGGGAGAGATCCATTACTTTATCTAGAACTGTTTGAAATGTTTTCCTATAAGTTTGTATTACATGGAATAAAAACTAAGGACCAATTGCAGAGATGCCCAAGTGACAACTTCCTTAGTCCTGAAATCCTGATACCACCCTGTAGGCAGAGCAACTCAGCTGTGGCTTCTCTAGAGTCCACAGGAGAAGGGCTGCAGTCATTTCAGGGCTGAAATGTGGCCATACCTGGCCCTAGGGCAGGGTTCCTCACCTGGACAGGTTCCCCATCACGCCACACCAGACCTTCTCCATCACTTTCCCAGCAAAGGTGAACTTCCTGGCCTACCCATGCCTCTGGGATGGTCAGTTCCACCCGGAACCAGCAGGTCCACCATCTGCAAGAGAGCTGTTGTGATAGGCCCAGAGGTAGAAGCCCTATCCTGATATCCTTCCTTGGATAAAGTGTCGGCCGGGGCTTGAAACTTTCCAAGAATCTGCAGTGTCACAAGGTACTCAGCTTTGAGCCACAAAAAAAGAGCCACAAGGTGAGAAGCAAGATGAGGGAAAGAGGCAGAGGCGTCAAAGGTTCGTGATCCCTAGGGTGCCCTTCCTAAGGGATGTCCAGAGGCGGCTACGTGGGGACGAAAACTATCCCCTGAAGACTGAGGGACCAGGGAGCTGTACCCAGCAGAGGGTGCTGCTCGATCCCACGTAGTTGCCTAGGGCAGACGGCGGACAACGAAGGTGTGGCCGGGAGCTGGGTTGGGACTTCCCTTAGACCCGTAGCCCCGCCCACCCGCTGGGCGTTACCTACGTGGGTCCGAAGCTGCAGCCGACCTGTGCTGGGCGGAAGTCCCGCTGGACTGCCTCCTGGTAGGGAAGCCTATCTGGCGTCAGGAAGCTGGAGAGCGCAGCCACAGGGCAGCTGGCCCCAAAAAGCCTGCGTAGGACGGGCCAGTGGGCACATGCTGGAGGCCGCCCGGTTTCCACCCGGGTGCCAGCTGGCCAGTGGGGCCGCACTTTCCCTGGATCCTCCGCCAAAAGGGCTGCCTGGCTGCGCTGCGGCAGTCCATTCCCTACCCCCTCCTCCCCGGCCTCTGCCCTGCCCGCGGCGAGCACTTCATCCTGCGGCCCGGGTGGCTGCAGCTTGGGTTTCTCCCCGGAAGGAAAGCCTGAAGCGCACGGATGCGGTCGGCCGGCTACCGAGACCAGGGCCACACCTGCCGCGGAGGTTACAGTCGGTAAAGTAGAGTGGCGACACGAACTTCTCCACCCGTTCCAGCGTGGTGCGCCAGTGCTTCAGGGCCGGCGCAGCCGCCATCGCCGAGCTCTCGCTCCTCTTTCCGGAAGGCCCCTGGCGCTACAGTCCCGCTCCACGGCAGGAAACCAAAGGTTCCGGCGTCCAGAGGGCGCCTCCCGGTCCCGGGCAGCTTTTCTTGGCACACCGGCGGCACTCGGAAGCCCAGCTGCTGTCTGAACCTTGAGCCGAGTTGGAAGCTAGAAACTGTGTTTTTGAGGCTCCCCTATGTTGTCCGAGATAGTGGGCCGCAGGGCAAATCTCAAAATAAAATGGGAAATTTGACGAGGAGAACTCCTGAAAGTCTCGGGACAGACACTTAGGCCATTCGGCAAGAAGGGCACGAGCCTCAGCTGCTGCAGACCCAGCCTCAGAAGCAGCAACCGGCAGGGAGACCTCTGGCTCTAGCTGTCGCTGAACACAGAAAATGGTGTTTGCTTAATGTGGAGAGCCAGACTACCCGGAATAGGTGTTTTCATACCGGACGGAGGTCAGGGTGTTAGTAGGAAAGTAGAGCTATATGCCCAAGTTACCACGACTTCCTCGATTACAGGCTTTACTGAATGTATATTGCTAACTCTTGCACATCACCAGAAACTCTGGAGTTTGAGGTGGCAAAACAGTCATGGCATTGACGATTCCAATGGAAAAATGTATTTCACCATACAGGACTGTAGAGTCCAGGGAAGTCATAATACCAGAAACAGAACTCCAGTTTCATTCTCACCCCTAGTACTCCACTGACAGCTTTGTTTTTTTCTCCTGGGGTTGCCAAGAGAGTGTCTATAAAATCATTAGGAACAAACAAAAAAACAAAAAAAAAATACACAAGATTAGCCCTGATATTTTAATGGAAATACGGACCAAGTTTACAACATTTCAAATGCAAATCACACGGAAAGGTGACTAAGTACAGAATACCAAATGTGATTTAAAATAAAGATAACCTGCTGCTGCATATAATACAGGTTGGGTTTAGAGCTTGGAGCTCAGATGTCAGACAGCAGGAGGAATAAAAATGCTACTTGTGAAAACCCAGGCTATAGGTAAAACTGTCTTCTGTTGGTTGCACTGGTGGGTTGGGACTTTCTCCTGAACTGGCCTTGAAATCCTATCCTGACCTGCAGGCAGGTGCTCTGGATGTAACACTGTGCAGGGGCAGCAACAGCCAGGGCTGACCCTGATCACACCCCACCAATTTCCCCTATGGTTCCAGGTCAACATGACCTTTCTTGAGGGAACACAGGGAAATAGGTGAATCATTTCTGAGAAAACCTCAGGATCTTTCCCCAAAATCAGTACGTATGACCACTCCCAAGTTAGACATTGCCCCAGTTTTGCCCTAAAATCTTATCCCACAAAGCTCTTTTTGGCACCCTACACTTTGGCTCACAGTCTCCTCTCCCCAGTACAAAAGCAGCCTAAAATCAGGCCGGCTCTGGTGGCTCACACCTGTAATCTCAGCACTTTGGGAGGCCAAGGTGGAAGGACAGCTTGAGGAGGGGAGTTTGAGACCAGCCTAGGCAGCATAGCAAGACCCTGTCTCTACAAAAAGTTAAAAAATTAGCTGGGTGTGGTGGCATGCAGCTACTCAGGAGGCTGAGGTGGGAGGACTGCTTGAGCCTGGGAGGTCAAGCCTGCAGTGAGCTATGATCGTGCCACTGCACTCCAGTGTGGGTCATAAAGTGAGACTTTGTCTTTAAACAATAATAAAAGCCTAAAATCAGGTCTATCATGTATTTTGAAAATCCAAGAACCAAAAAATTTTTCTTTTTGGTGGTTGTGGTGGTGATTTTTAACTAAAAAGCAAACATAAAACACACAAAACATTGCTGCTTACGACTAAGACTTGCGTAATGGTTGCTGAAGAAAAATCCACCAGAGTACTGGGGGCTCAGTTGGTCTTTGTTCAGAAAGTCCAGGTTAACCACATAGAAAAATTCTAATCATTCATGTTTAAATGCTAGTTTAAATTTATGTAATTAAAAAAATAGGTATCCCATTTCAAATTCTCTCCCTCCCAACCCCATTTATAAGGTATACCACATGCCTTATACACACTTTTTTTCAAATACTGGTTTGGTATTTAAGTTGCTCACCCCCATCCATCACCAATGTGAATAAGAAAAAATATATAGAAATACAAACTACATAGCTTGACAACTTACCCAAATATAAAATATTTTCAGATAGTTGAACAAGGGGAAAAAACATGTACTAAAAGACTGAAGTATTCTAAGATTTTGGAATATTTTGATTTGGAACAAGTAACAAGTATTTAAAGCAAAATCCTGTTTCTACCCTGGATAAGGAACTGAAACCAAAATCCCTGCTTCACAGTATTTTCTGGTGAGGACAAGGGACGTGGGTTGAGAGTTTATTCCTTAAGTAAGAACCAAGCTTTATTTATTTACAAAAAAAAAAAAAAAAAAAAGTTGGGGGCAAAGGGGAAGACAAGTTTTACACAAAAGTACTACAATGGTAACTCCCTTTGGTAAAAAGTGTAATAAATGTCTTGTACATCTGTTCATAGGTACTAAATCTGAAGCCACATAGTACTATGGTACACAAGAAGCTAGAGCAATTATGCTAGCACATCAAAGCATATTTCTTTTAATAAAAAATTGACAGTATGTACATTATGTACAAAAAAACAAGTTAAAATCGTGTGTGTGTGCATGTGTGTGTCAGAGAGTAAAGCTGGTGGATGGCACTAGGGTAGACTAGTAAAGAGGCAGATACAAAACAGTTCCACGGGAGCTAAAAAGGACGACTGATTTGAACTCGTTGAGGTTGAGAACCAAAGGAAAGGGTAGGCAGCAAGGGATTCGTCAGGAATAAAATCCACAAGATGATCAATCCCAAAGCCAAACTGCAGGTCCCAGATAAAACCTAATGGGTGATCTTAGATGTGCTCAAGTGACCAGAAAAAAAAAAAATCAAATCCAGTTTTTTTTTTTTTCCTTTTGTGGGGAGGGGAGAGGAGCAGTGACCATGATAGTTCCAATCCATCTGAGTATTAAGTCCTTCCCCAGTCTGTTTTGTAAATGCATCTCCATCCAGTCAAAAGTGTGAACAGCATCCGGTTCCCTCACTGAAAGTTAGGCCACAGGAGACTCCAGTCTTAGCTCTGCTGGTGTGTGCAAGCAAACTGCACGTCTTTGCTTGCAAGGACTTCCTTCCCCTCCAGGGCAGGCTATACCCAAAACCCTTTGGAAAAGTTCCAGCTTCAGCTTTGTAAGGTATTCATGTTCCTAACAGGTAGCCCACTTGGTGCCAGGCTGCACCAGCCACACACAGGTCAGGTGGCCATGTCCCAGAGAGGCCCAGTGAGGCTTGAAAGGCATCTTCCTTGTTTCTTCAGTGTGTGAATGCATAGGCCTACACACACACCCCCCCACACACCCCAAGTTATCTGCTCTGGCTTTGCAGTTAAGGGGCTTTGAATACTGTGCCGTATTTGACACGATACTTGTTAATGCTCACAAAATGCAGGGTCTCTGTATCACAGGTGGTGGTACAGGGCACCAGGCCCTCCAGCCCCTCACCCATGAGCCACTTGCTGGTCTCTGCTGCCATTTCACGGGGCACATGCTCCTTGGTCCATTTATCTACCCAGGCCTGGAATCTCTGATGTAGACGCTTGCTTACACGCTCATGGGACTGCAAAACAGAAAAAAAATATTTTTTATTAAATGAAGCAGAACCAAAAAAAAGCCCTTCAAATACAAAGCCTAATCTTCTTCTAAAGGAGCAAAGGAGAGATTGGGCTCAAGTCTTAGATACTGTTTTTGTTTTTCTTTAAAAAAAAAAAAAAAAAAAAGCTTCTCTGTTTACAGAGAAGTTAAAGTAGTAAGAACATAGAACATGTGAGGGCATGAAAATCCATAACGTCTCCAAAGAAATGTGAACACAGGCTCTGGGCTGAAAAAGCTCAGTGTTCTCAATTTTAGCATGCATTAGTATAACCTAGGGAATGTGTTAAAAAGACACATTTCCGACGAGGCGCAGTAACTCACGCCTGTAATCCTAGTACTCTGGGAGGCCGAGGCAGGCAGTTCGCTTGAGCTCAGGAGTTTGAGACCAGCCTGGGCAACATGACAAAACCCCATCTCTACAAAAATACAAAACTTAATCGGGCATGGTGACACAATCCTGTAGTCCCAGCTACTTGGTAGGCTGAAGTGGGAGGACCGCTTGAGCTCGGAGGTGGAGGTTGCAGCGAGCTGAGATCGTACCACCGCACCCCAGCCTGGATGGCAGAGCCAAACCCTGTCTCCAAAAACAAACATACAAAAAACCCAAAACCCCACATTTCCTTGGTTTTACCAATCTGCTCTAATGTATCCTGGGTAGGACCCAGTGAGCCACTGATCACTTCTATCAGCATGGAGATCCACTTCTAAGCCAGATAGTGCAAAGCAAAGGGCTTAAAACCCACTCTCCCTCCATTGTGTTACCCCACCCTGGCAAGCAGAGTCCAGGCTTGCCAGATCTTCTGCAGGGAGTTCTGTTCCCACCAACACACCCAGTAAAAATTTATTGGTGACCACATGCAAGGATACTAGAAGAGATACAAAAACAAAACTGCTGTTGCCCAGTGTCCCAAATAATGTGAATCAGAGACAGGCAGACACACAACACATAGCAAAAAAAATTAGTCAGGCATGGTGGTGCACACCTGTAATCCCAGCTACTCGAAAGGCTGAGGCAAGAGAATCTCTTGAACCCGCGAGACAGAGGATGCAGTGAGCTGAGATCATGCCACTGCGCTTCCTTCCATGCCATGAGAGAAGTACAGCAGACTCTTGAATAACACGGCTTTGAATGGCACAGGGCCACTGATAGGCAAGTTTTCTTCCACCTCTGCCAACCCTGAGACAGCAAAACCAACCCCTCCCCTTCCTCCTCCCTCTTCAGCCTACTCAACAAGATGAGAATGAGGACCCTTTATGATGAGCCACATCCACTTAATGAAGAGTAAATATATTTTCTCTTGCATATGACTTAACATTTTCTTTTCTCTAACTTCCTTTATTGTAAGAATATACAGTATAGGCTGGGCACAGTGGCTCACACCTGTAATCCCAGCACTTTAGGAGGCTGAAACAGATGGGTTGTTTGAACCCCTGAAGACCAGCCCTGGGCAATGTAAGGAGACCCCGTGTCTATTTCCACTAAAAAAAAAAAAAAGAAAACAAGAAAAAAAGAATGCAGTATATATAATACATACAACATACAAAATATGTCTATCAACTGTTTATCAGTAAGCCTTCCACTCAACAGTAGACTATCAGTAGTTCCATTCCGGGGGAGTCAAAAATTATACATAGATTTGACTGTGCAGGGGTCAGTGCCCCAAACCCCGTGTCATTCGAGGGATAATCATACATTAAACTGTGTGCTCAACATCTCCCACTTGAAAGTTTTGTAGTCCTTTCAAACTTAAAACGCACTTCGTCTGTCTCCTAAACCTCATAACCCTTTTCTATTAACAGGTGAGCCCCTAAAATATCCACTTAAGCAAAACAAAACAAACCAAAAAACCCCAAAACGAATTAGGCACCATCCTTGATGTCCTCCTTTTGCTTACCCCCACATTTGATCCAATACCATCTCTTGTCAATTAAATATCTAAATTATATCTACATCCAGGCGTGGTAGCTCATGCCTGTAGTCCCAGTACTTTGGGAGGCTGAGGTGGGTGGGTCACTTGAGGTCAGGGGTTTGAGACCAGCCTGGCCAACATGGTGAAACCCCATCTCTACTAAAAATACAAAAAATCAGCCAGGCGTGGTGGCGCGTGCCTGTAATCCCAGCTGCTCAGTAGGCTGAGACAGGAGAATCGCTTGAACCCGGGAGGCAGAGGTTGCAGTGAGCCGAGATTGGGTCACTGCACTCCAGCTTGGGCGACAAGAGTGAAACTCTGTCTCAAAAATAAATAAACACATAAAATCTACAATGTAATTCTCGCAATTCCACTGCCACCCTAGTAGTCTGGGTGGTCCCCAAATCTCATTTGGACAAGGGCACCCTTGAGTGGTCTCTGCTCTTCCAACTTTATACATACCCATCTCCACTCTCCTCATAGCACTCCAAGCTATCTTTGTCAAATGTCCCAATGCATCTCAAACAAACTCCAAACCATGGCCTATTAGACAAAGTAATGTGGCCTCTGCCTACCCTTCTAACTTCATGTAACCTTGAGCCACAACGGTGTCTGTAGTTTCTTGAATATGCCATGTTCTTTCCTCCCAGCCTTGTACTTGCTGTTTTGTCTAGAAAACACCCATCCTCTACTCTTCACCAGGCTAATTCCTTGTCATTATTCAGGCCTCAAGCATCACCACCTTTGAGAAGCCTCCTCCAGTGAAAGCAAGGCCTGTATGCTAGTTACCCTTGATCACTGCACCTGATTTGTTTCCCTGGTAGTGCATATCATCACATTACTTCATCTGATCAACTTCATGGCTGTAGTCCCAGGGCCTGGCATAACACCCTGTACACAGCTGCAGCAGGAAGGTTTCACAATTGAGACAGAATGTAAAAACAGGTAGAATTCATACAAGCAAACGATCAGATACTACTTGAGATGTAAATACTGGGAGTAAATTCACTAAAAAGGTGCCACCAGGTATTTATGTGCTCTTACGGGCTGAAGTGTGTTCTCCCTAAAATTCTTATGTTGGCTGGGTGTGGTGGCTCATGCCTGTAAAGCTAGCACTTTGGGAGGCTGTGTCAGGCAAGACTGTCTCAAACAAACAAAAAATCAAATATTGAAGTCCTGGCCCACAGTACTTCCAAATGTGACCTTATCTGGAGGCAGACATACACACAGGTAGAAACACCATATGAAGATAAAGGCAGGGATCTAAAAGCCCAGGAATGCCAAAGATTGCCAGCAAAGAACCAGAAGCTAAGAGAGGCCTAGAACAGATTGTCCCTCACAGTCCTCAAAAGGAACCAACACTGCTGACACCTGACTTTGGACTTCTAGTCTCCAGAACTTTTGTCGTTTAAGCCACACTCTGTGGTACTCTGTCACAGCATCCTTAGCAAACCAACATACCTACTTCCTCAGCTAAGTCTCAGCTCCAAGAACAGGTTTGCATAAACAAAGAGAAACAATCAGAAGACTCTGGGCCTCCCCTGCTCCTAGCTAGGGTGGCAGATGTGTACAGAAATTACAGTTACTGGTTCTCACCTGATGAGCCCGGAGCAGGGCAGTCCTCCGATACATATAGTCCTCTGATTTGATCACATACACCATCTTGTAGGAATTCAGCTTGAATCTACACTCCAGCTTATCCAGACTATCCACATTCTCCATGGTCTTCTTACTGTTTCCTTCCTTCCCTTCCTTTTCCTGCTGCTCTCGACCACGCTGACATTTCCGGATCCGCCGTAGATTCCTATGGCAGAAAAGCCCTGAAAGATGAGAGCTCATCCAGACACAGATTCCCGTGACTTCCCCCAAGTGAGTTTTCTTTATTATATGCTTACATAGTACTCATCCCAATTTGTTAAATACATACAAAAATGTTCCATTGTTTCACTGCAAAAAAAAATTTCAACTGCAAAGGTACACAGAATAAAAAGTAGAAATCTTCACCCATCACCTACTTGCCTTAGCAGATGCAGCCAGTTAAGAGTTTTAATGAGAAACTTCTGGGCCTCCGTCTGTAAATTTACACATGTAATTACCAGCTATAATTCTGCTTTGGGATTTGTTTTTAAGACAAAATAGGATCATACTATATATTCTGTCCTCAACTTTTCACTTACTGTCATGAGTATTTTTTCATTTCATGACAGATTTGTCTTATTCTCTTTAACTGCTGCAGAAAAATGTACCCCAATTTACCATTCCTTAACAGTTTATTTCAACTGAGGTTCCTCATCTGAACCACATAACAAAAAATTATTTGAATGCCTAATTTTAAAAATTCCCCCAGATGATATAAACTAGTGCCACTCTACATAGACAAGAAAGAAGATAATTCACATGAATGGATGCCCTGAGGGGTGAGAGGCTTGCTAAATCTCCTCAACATCCAGTGAAGAAAGGTTATCAGCTAGACAATTATATTGTTTCTCATAACTTGCTATTAAAAACACTGCTTCAGGTTGGCCGTTGTGGCTCATGCCTATAATCCCAGCACGTTGGGAGGCAGGTGGATTGCTTGAGCTCAGGAGTTTGAGACTAGCCTGGGCGACATGGCAAAAACCCCTTCTCTACAAAAAATAAACAAATTAGGCAGGTGTGGTGATGTGTGCCTAGAGTCTCAGCAACTTGAGAGGTTAAGGTGGGAAGATCACTTGAGCCCAGAAGGTGGAGGTTGCAGTGAGCCAAGATCCCACCACTGTACTATAGCCTGGGAGACAGAGTCAGATACTGTCTCAAAAAAAAAAAAAAAAAAAAACCCAAAATATTGCTCTAGTGAGTATCTTTGTATACATGTATTTCTGCAGACAGCAGTTCTTTGTCCAAAGGGTCCCAAGACCCTTTTAGGAGATCTGTGAGATCAAAACTATTTTCATAATAATACTAAAATATTATTTCCCTTTTTTGCTGTGTTGACATCTGCACTGGCACCATAAACGTAATGGTGAATAAAAATGGTGGTGGCGCCAAATTGTATTTGCAATATCGAACAAATTGTTACCAAATTCCAATATCAATCTATATATATCACTGAGCTTTTCATACAGTTGTCAAACTCTATTGGTTTATCTTGTACCATGAATGAATCCTTTTACTTCCACGATTTTGTAACCTCATGCAATTGCAATTCAAGTCTTTGAACTTCACACTGACTGCACAATGACATTAAGTGAAAAAAAGCCAGTTTCACTTAAGAAGGTTTCTGATGGGCCAGTCACAGTGGCTCACACTTATAATCCCAGCACTCTGGGAGGCTGAGGCAGGCAGACCACTTGAGGTCAGGAGTTTGAGACCAGTCTGGCCAACTGGGGGAAACCCCATCTCTAATAAAAGCACAAAAATTAGCCAGGCATGGTGGCGCGCACCTGTAATCCCAGCTACTTGAGAGGGTGAAGCAGGAGAATCACTTGAACCTGGCTGGTGGAGGTTGCAGTAAGCCAATATCATGTCATCACACTCTAGCTTGGGCAACAGTGAGACTCTGCCTCAAAAAAAACCCAATGTTTCTGATGAAGGAGTAACATTTTTTATTAAATCCCAACTCCTCAGTTTACGTATTTTTAACATGCTGTGTGATAAAATGGGAACTACATATAAAGCACTTTTGTGTGCTAAAGTACAACGGTATTTTTTTTTTTGAGACGGAGTCTCGCTCTGTCGCCCAGGCTGGAGTGCAGTGGTCGGATCTCAGTTCACTGCAAGCTCCGCCTCCCGGGTTTACGCCATTCTCCTGCCTCAGCCTCCCGAGTAGCTGGGATTACAGGCGCCCGCCACCTCGCCCGGCTAGTGTTTTTGTATTTTTTAGTAGAGACGGGGTTTCACCGTGTTAGCCAGGATGGTCTCGATCTCCTGACCTTGTGATCCACCCGTCTCAGCCTCCTAAAGTGCTGGGATTACAGGCTTGAGCCACTGCGCCTGGCCAGTACAATGGTATTATTAAAGAAAAGTACTTGAGCAATTGCTTGAGTTGTAAGTGGATCACCATTTTTACCTGAAAGAACAACTGACTAAATATAGTCAATCTCAGCCAAGTATTTGGCAGATGTTTTCTCAAAAATGAACAAGGGAGCCTATCACTTCAAGGAAAATAATGTTGCCAATAATAAGATTAGAATTTTCAAGCAAAACTATGAATTGTGGTGAACCGGTATTAGCCACCCTGAGCTTGACAGCTTCCCAATACTTAAAGATGTGTTTGATGACCTAGTGATAGTGATATTAATCAATGTGATTTTTTTTGGAGACACTGTAAAATATATCAACATTTAGTAGGTCTGTACAACTTAGTGAGCTAATGTTTCCAAATAGCCAATTGCATAGTTACAAAATCATAGAGGAAAAAAAGATTCCTTCATGATACACATGAATGAATGTGAGAGCTCAGTGATGGATAAATTGATATTGGAATTTGGTAACACATGTGAGAGACACATGATGGATTTTGACAACTGTATGAAAAGCCCACTGATATATAAATTGATATTGCTACTAACCTTTAAGAAACTATTGGCTGGGCACGGTGGCTCACGCCTGTAATCCCAGCACTTTGGGAGGCCGAGACAGGCAGATCACGAGGTCAGGAGATTGAGACCATCCTGGCTAACATGGTGAAACCCCGTCTCTACTAAAAATACAAAAAATTAGCCGAGCGTGGTGGCAGGTGCCTGCAGTCCCAGCTACTCAGGAGGCTGAGGCAGGAGAATGGCGTGAACCTGGGAGGTGGAATTTGCAGTGAGCCAAGAAAGCGCCACTGCACTCCAGTCCGGGCGACAGAGCCAGACTCCATCTCAAATTTAAAAAAAAAAAAAAGAAAGAAAGAAACTATCACTGGGGTCAGGTGCGGTGGCTCACACCTGTAATCACAGCACTTTGGGAGGCTGAGGTGGATCACCTGAGGTCAGGAGTTCAAGACCAGCCAAACCAACATGGAGAAACTCCATTTCTACTAAAAAAACAAAAACAGCTGGGCGTGGTGGCACATGCCTGTAATCCCAGCTACTTGGGAGGATAAGGCAGGAGAATTGCTTAAACCCGGAAGGCAGGGGTTGCAGTGAGCCAAGATCGCCACTGCACTCCAGCCTGGGCAACAAGAAAGAAACTCCGAAAACTAGCCAGGCAAGGTGGTGGGCGCCTGTAGTCCCAGCTACTCGGGAGGCTGAGGCAGGAGAATGGCCTAAACCCGGGAGGCGGAGCTTGCATTGAGCTGAGATCCGGCCACTGCACTCCAGCCTGGGCGACAGAGCGAGACTCCGTCTCAAAAAAGAAAAAAAGAATGAAACTCCGTCTCAAAAACAAAAACTATCACTTGTGGTTTTGTTGTCATATCAAAGAATATCCAGTTATCTGAAGGATCTGAAAATACTCCTTTTTCCAGCTATCTGAAGGATCTGAAAATACTCCTTTTTCCAGCTACACATTTGCATGAGGCCAGATTTTCTTCACATATTTCAACCAAACAACATAATGCAACAGATTGAATGTAGAAGCAGACATGAGAATCCAGCTGTTCTTCTAGTAAGCCAGACATTAAACAAATTTATGAAATACAAGCAATGCCAGTCTACTCACTAATTTTTGTTTTGAATTAGCTTTTCATTAAAAAATATTATTAAAAAATATAGTGGGATATATACACACACACACACACACACACACACACACACACACACACACATATATATATATTTTTTTTTTTTTGAGGCAGAGTCTCGCTTGGTTACCCAGGCTGGAGTGCTGTGGTGCGATCTCCACTCACTGCAAACTCTGCCTTCCAAGTTCAAGCGATTCTCCTGCCTCAGTCTCCCGAGCAGCTGGGACTACAGGCGCCCGCCACCACACCCAGCTAATTTTTTGTATTTTTAGTAGAGACGGGTTTCACTGTGTTAGCCAGGATGGTCTCGATCTCCTGATCTCGTGATCCACCGCCTCGGCCTCCCAAAGTGCTGGAATTACAGGCGTGAGCCACAACGCCCAGCCCAGTATTGTTATTTTTCAAATGAATTAAAGATTGAAAACATTTCTTTGTTTTTATTTCTAACTTGGTAAATATTACCAGTATAATCCATATAAACAAAAGCTTTTGGAGAACTCATGCTCTAAGAGTGTAAGGGGTCTCAAGGCCAGTAAGATGAGCCCCTTAGCTGTCAGACAAATCATTAAAAACTGAAATTCTGGAGGGAAGGTTCCATACACTTCAACTATCCTGCCACCAGAACGATTATATCAATTTCTTTTTTCTCACAGTACATAAATGTGCCTCCTTCCTCATATCCTGGTGAGAGACACATGATGACAGGTTTATTGTAGTATGTTATTAGCATGGAGCCTGTTTTGTTGAGAGGAACCTGACACAGAGCAACTGCTCAAATGTCTTAAATGATTCCATGAATGGAGAACCTGGCAGGGCCCATTTTTCTGGTACCCCTTTGCCCATGTCCTCATTAGGACTCAATAAGTCTAATAACACTGGGATGATACTTTCTTGGAAACCTAAGACATAAGATTTCAATTCAAAACTTTTAGGAAGGAAGAAAGCCATTCTACCCATTTTATACTTCTTAAACTCTGTTATCATATACTTGGAGGATCAGTAGCACAATCTGCCTATATACAGAGGGAACATTTTTAAAATTCTGTGCAGAAAAGAGTTAATGTAGCAGGCCTAAGACTGCTATTCTTTGAAAAGTCTGCTTATAAAAGTTGGCCCTTGGCTAGGGGCTGGGATCTTGGATTTTGGGCAATGTTCTATCATTCCTTAATTCATGTAAGTGTCACACTGTACCTAAACTATCTGTACAAACTCTATAGCTTATGCTGAAAACCTGCTTTCTTTCTGAGAGTTTGGGATTTTGGTACATGCTAGACATACAGTGCTTAGATGACTAGATATCAATAAAAATCCTGGCATAGTCTCTAATGAGCTGCCCTGGTAAGACAGCATTTTACATGTGTTGTCACACTCATTGTTGGAAGAATTAAGAGTGTCCTGTGTGACTCCACTGGGAGAGGATTCTAGGAAGCTTGCACCTGGATTCCTCTAGCTTTGCCACAGGCACCTTTTCCCTTTGCTGATTTTGCTTTGCATCTTCTTGCTGCACTGTATCAGTCTGACTATATGCAGAGTCCTGTGAGTCCTCTTCCATCGAACCATGGAGACTCTGACACACATTGCCATCCAAAGTAGGGAGGTTATTATTGATTCTCTGTAAGTCTCACCTCCCGGATGCTTTGACACATGCTCCAGGTAAGCCCATGTTGTGACAGCCATATAAACCTTGAATTAGCATCCCCAGTAGACAGAACAAATGAATAAAATATATGAAAGCCAAGAACGTGAAAGTCATTTAATTCTCCATTCCTAAATCACACACAGTACGGACTGCTGACAAATGACATGGCTCACTCACCTGGGGAGAAATACTGGTTTCTGTGCTAGATGTTCACGAAGCTCAGGAGAGGTAGTATCTGAATTCATGTATCGCTCCACGTAGTCTGACCAGCGCTAAGATGGCAAACACAAAATACAGGTAGAAGGAAATCACAAAAACAGCTCGTAACGCATTGGGTACTCTAGTAAATTCTATGACTACAATGCCCCAAATTCATAAATTTCAAGATCAAAAAAGTCCCTTTCTATAAAGACATGATTGTTAGTAGGTACTGGAACACAGATGAAAAATTCTGTTAGCCAGTAATACTGTTAAGTTTCTCTGAGGTGCTAAGGTTATCGGAAGTCATAAACAGGTAGAAGCTGGCTCACTGACAAGTTTCATTTCCCCACAGAGGATTCTGTTAAAGAACAAAATTTACAGTGGCAAATGTGTGAAAGTTTCCTTCACATTACAATCTAGATTTCTGACATCACTTTAAAAAACAAAAAGATCTGCCAACAAGCCAACATTCCCACCAAACAGGTCATCCCACATGTCCCCCGCAACATCATACATATGGCCTGCATCTCCCGTGTACATTATATGCCATAACTAATTATGATAATCACACCTGTCTATTCAGGGGTTGAAAACTCTGTGCTTTATCAGTCCAATATAAAGTAAACATGACCCAAAGAATCCAGATGACACGAGAAAGACAGTACCTCATTTGTTGTTTTTTATACTTTAGGAAAAAACAGGAAAGCTGCCAACCATAAGACTTACTTAGAGGAGATAGCTTTACTAAGTGCAAGATGAGGTTAACATCTATAACCAGGCAGCCCTTCTCTTCAGCTACAGACATGGCTGGATTGACTTGTACTTAAACATCCAGGTCCTGACCCTTAAACAGGCCTAAGGTGCCTTGGCCTTTTGGCAGACAGGGTCACTAGACAGACTCTCAAGACATGCCAGCTCTGCTTGGCACCTGGGGTGTGTGATGCACTTGCTCATACCTCTGCTTCCACAGGGTCATCCGAATTCTCCTCTTCTGTGTCCAGAAGCTCAATAGTCAGCTGGACCTGGCCTTGGCTCTGAATAAACATAAGCTGCAAATAAGAAACCTAAGCGTAAACAAAAGACCGTCTCTATAGCTATAATCTATCTTCTCAAGGAAATGAGAGATGCAGAGGCAATAAACTTAGTAAACTTTGCTCCAACTGAGGAGATGAGGAAGATACTGGATCTTGGGAGGCCAGTGATAAAGGCAAAAGTCTACACTTACTACAAGTAAAATGAAATATGTTAAAGAAAAAAGTACCATTTCATGTTTCAAACTTCTAGAATTCGCTAACATAATAATCAATGCCAGTAAGAATGTTTTACAAAACAAGTATTTTGTTAGAAAGAAATATGGCACATGTAGCCAGAACCAAAAAATGTCAATGCTCTGTCCATTGATAATCCCACTTCTAGGACATAATAGACAAGGTAACTATCAGAATCACACAGAGAAGATCAGAGCCTGGAAGGAAACCTGAGAATTTTTTATTTCAACTTTCTTCATTTTACAGAAACAAAACTGAAATTCAGAGAGTTCTGGTTTCTCAACGCACACCACTAGTCAATAAACACACAGAGTCAGAAGCTAGATCTAGCTCAGTGTTCTTTTAAAGCTTTAAAAAATGATCTCTACTAGTAAAGCTTACAACCTGACAATAACGTAACATATATACACAAATACAGTTACTTCCAAAATAGATTTCGGGGGATGGGGGGCAGACCCTGCATTTTTACATTTTATAATTTAAGAAGTGCAAAATCTGTCTCCAGTATTCATAACAGGATGTCATTAACCAATCCCCACAGTGGGTTGGACGTCTAGGTTGTTTCCAACTATCTCCTTTTATAATTATCCATTATAATGGTGAAAAATTGGAAACAACCTAAATGTCCAATAATACAGGCATTAATTCTCTAAAAAGTGACTATCAAATAGCCATAAAAAAGACATTAAAGACCCAGAAGTGTTGCTAATTGATCAAAAATACATTAAAGACCATTTCAGGTCAGATGCAGTGGCTCACACCTGTAATCCCAGCACTTTAGGAGGCTGAAGCGGGCAGATCAGTTGAGGCCAGGAGTCTGAGACAAGCCTGGCCAACATGGCAAAATCACATCTCTACTAAAAGTACAAAAATTAGGCAGGGTGCAGTGGCTCATGCCTGTAATCCCAGCACTTTGGGAGGGCAAGGAGGGCAGATCACCTGAGGTCAGGAGTTCAAAACCAGCCTGACCAACATGGTGAAACCCTGTCTCTACTAAAAATACATACACACACACAAAAGCTGGCCATGGTGGCACGTGTCTGTAACCCCAGCTACTCAGGAGGCTGAGGCAGGAGAACTGCTTGAACCCAGGAGGCAGAGGTTGCAGTAAGCTGAGATAGCACCACTGCACTCCAAGCCTGGGCAACAAGAGTGAGCCTCCAACTCGGTGGGGGGGGGAAGACCATTTCGTCCAGTATAAACTCTTTCAAAATATATACTCAAGCATAGAGAAGTTAGAAGCATAGAGATGTCATCAATGATAATTTCAGGAAAGAATTCTAAGGTGACTTTTTTTGGTTATCTGTATTTTATTTTCCTTTTTATTTTTTGGGGACAGAAAATGCTTGCTCTGTCACCCAGGCTGGGGTGCAGTGACGCGATCAGGGCTTACTGTAGCCTCGACCTCCCAGGCTCAAGCAATCCTTCTACCTCATTCTCCCGAGTAGCTAAGAGTATAGGTGCACGCTACCACGCTGGACTAATTTTTGTATTCTCGTATTTCTTGCAGAGATGCCGTTTTGCCATGTTGCCCAAGCTGGTCTCAACTGATCCACCCACCTCGGCCTCCCAGTGTGCTGGGATTACAAGTGTGAGCCATGTGTGCCGGGCCTATTTTTTTCTTTCTATAATGATCATGACCATGGATTTCATGTACCAACATTTTTCTAACAATAATATTTACAAAGCATACTATGAAAAATGTTCAGAGAAAAAGAAGAATACAAAATTGTAAAAATCATATATAACTAGTTTTTTTTTTTTTCTTTTTTTTAAAGGCAGGAAAGAAACAAAGAAGATTGTCCAGGAAGACAATCACTTGTACTTTGTATTTCTCTGGTGAACTCATTAAAAGTTCCAGGAATAGAATCACAGGTCAACGTACCCTGGCTTTAACTTCTGGTTCAGAGAATCCTAACAACTTACATTGTCACCAGCAAGTTCTTTGACTACCTGAACAACTCTCACCTTAAAGCAATTCTCATCTGACATTAGCTGCTCAGCTTTCCGCTGATACGTTGACTCCAGGAGGCTCCTTGAGTTCTGTGTGTTCAGCTGGCCTCCAGTGGCCCCATTATTATTTTCTGCCAGGTAAAGGTCAGTCACCTGCACACATATCTCATCACTCACGATATGCTGCAGCTGGAATCAAACAAAGGCAAGATGTTAGTGAACACAGAAAACATTTCTCCACTATACCGTCAACGTTCCTTTGACTGATCTAGTCACTCAACTCAAAAAAAGGTTTTTTTTTTGCGGGGGGGGAGCGGGCAATTTTAGAAAATTAATCACACAAACCACTGTATCATTTTCTTGGAGAATAATCAAGCCAAGATTTTCAGCCGTATCAGTGGTCCATGGTAAAACTTTCATATCTATTTAAAATAAAAACCATAGAGAACTCAGGATAATTGTACTATTTAAAATTCTAAGGATCTTTAAATAATTTTCTATCGGTCATATTTTTATTGCATTTTAAAATCATTTACAATTTGCTTTCATACATATTTTCTCTCATTTGATCCTCACAACTGCCCTGGGAAGCAGGCTGGAGAGAGTTGGGGACAGTTAGGAGACAAATTTACACAATGCATCAGAAAGGTGGCTCACGTCTGTAATCCCAGCACTTTGGGAGGCTGAGGTGGGCCCATCACCTGAGGTCAGGAGTTCAAAACCAGCCTGGCTAACGTGGCGAAACCCCAGCTCTACTAATAAATACACAAATAGCCCGGTGTAGTGGCAGGTGCCTGTAATCCCAGCTACTCGGGAGGCTGGGGCAGGAGAATCGCTTGAACCTGATAGGTAGAGATTGCAGTGAGCCGAGACTGCACCACTGCAAAGCTCACCATGAGCTGGGGTGAGGAAGGGAGCCTTGGAGAATCATGAATGTAATATCTATGTTTTTAGTCCCAGCCCAACTACAAAGCCTGAAACTCATTAAGTATTTAAGAAATAGCTGCTGAATTACTGCCTGGGGTGCTCAGCTGAAGAAGCAGGGTTGGGACTAAAAGTCAAGGTTCCTGACTCCTATAGCCCAATACTTTTCCAAACACACCACCTATTTTTCTATATCTGATAGAAAGTATAGGGCTTACATTGTACATAATGTTAACTCACTTTCCATACAGGCCAATCATGACTGACTATCCAGTACTTCTGTGACAATCTTAGGAAACTAATGACTAGAAAGTTGAACCTTTCAGAGTTCCCATTCTCATGTCATGCTATTTCTATTTTGAAATAAAAATTCTTCCAAATGAAACTTTATCACCAAAATGACAGAAGTGAAAAATAGATACAAGAAGAAAGCAAAACATTAATTTCAATATCGATTTGTCTATTTTACTTTAAGATTATCATAAACACCAAGCCATTCTATTTTTAGGAAGATACATTCTTTTTGAAGTGTTAGGAACCACAATAACGATTTATTCTTAACTTTAAGTCCTAAATGACCAGTATGTATATTAGTAGATAACTGGACACAGTGCAAGGTCAGACGGGTGACTGAGTGTGGCAGAAAGGGCAGTATCTCCAGCAACTACAGATGGATAAATAAATCACAATGAGTCCAGATAAAGGATTCTGATACAACCATTAAAATAATGCTTATGAGTACTTGATATCATGTGCAAAAGATTAAGATACAGTGTTTTAGAGAGAAAAAAGGTGGAAAAAATAGATGGAAAGCATGACTTCAATCATGCATACAGATGCTTCCACTTTATACTTTTTTTTTTTGTTGAGACAGAGTTTCACTCTGTCACCCAGGCTAGAGTGCAGTGGCATCGTGATCTCAGCTCAGTGCAGCCTCAACTTCCTGGGCTCAAGCAACCCTCCCACACCTCAGCCTCTTAAGTAGCTGGGACTACAGGCATGTACCACCACGCCCAGCTAACTATTTTGTATTTTCAGAAGAGATAGGGTTTTGCCATGTTGTCCAGTCTGGTCTCAAACTCCTGAGCTCAAGTGATCCACCTGCCTCAGCCTCCCGAACTGCTGGGATTACAGGTGTGAGCCACCGCCTCTACTTTATACGTTCTTGTTGAAGTAGACGTATTACTGATTCCCCCCATCCCCACACCCTCTTTTTGGATATCTGGCCCCTCCTCGAGTCTTTGGAAAAGGCAGCACTACAATCCAGGGGCAACTATGGAACTCCTACCCCCACTGCTGAGCAGATCAGATTCTCTATCCTGATAACTGGAAATGACACACAGTGTTCAATATATTTTTTGAGGAGGAGCATCTGTATGGAAAGGTCCAGTAACACTGGGACCAGGGGTACTGGGAGGGCAAGCCAAAGCCTCAGAGGCGGGAGGAGCCTGGAGCACGTGCTGAATGCCCATCTGCAGAGCAAAGCACAAGCATGGAGCAGAAGTCCACAGTGAAGGCCTGCAGGAGAGGAAAATCACCTCCCAGCCCAGTCCTTCCATGGTGTGGTCCTATTCTGAGTTCTGTACTTGAATGTCTGTGAGGTTGCCTATTGTATTCTTAACACAAATCCCTCTTAAGCCAGTCTACTATAGGTAAGATAAGTGTAATGGCTTGACTTGGCTGGAGTGCAGTGGCGCGATCACGGCTCACTGCAGCCCCAACTTCCAGGGTTCAGATGATCCTCCCACCTTAGCCTCCTGAGTATGCTGGGACTACAGGCATGTGCCACCACGCCCAGCTAATTTTTTTGTATTTTTAATATAAAACAAGGTTTCCCCATGTTGCCCAGGCTGTTCTCCAACTCCTGGACTCAAGATACATGCCTGCCTTGGACTCCCAAAGTGCTGGTATTAGAGGTGTGAGCCTTGACTTTGAAATATATGTTGTACACCACGACCAGCCTTGACTTTGAAATATATGTTGTACATCCAGTCAACAGCAAAATCTGAGGGAACACCAAATACGAGGAGAATGAGAGAAGAGATACCTCCAATTAAAGGAGTTGGGAAGCTTGAAAATGTTTTAAAAAGTCACTGTAGGCTGGGCACAGTGGCTCATGCCTGTAATTACAACACTTTGGGAGGCCGAAGTAGGTGAACCGCTTGAGCCCGTAAGTTTGAAACCAGCCTGGACAACACGGCGAAACTCCTTCTCTACAAAAAATACAATAAATTAGCCAGCGTGGTGACCCCTTTGGTCCCAGCTACTTGGGAGGCTGAGGTGGGAGGTCGAGGCTACAGTGAGCTGAGATCACACCACTGCACTCCAGTCTGGGCAAGAGAGTGAGACCCTGGGTTGAAGAAAAAAAGTCACTGTTTTGGGGTTTTCTGGATGAAACCTCTGTTTCCACTGGAAAAAAAAAAAAAAAAAAGCAGGGGTGGAGTGGGTGGTGATAGTATTTATTACTGATTCAAAATCATAACCAGATACTTAGAATAAATAACTATATCTCTTGTTTCAAAAATCAACCTCAGAATTATTAAAAGTTAGTTTTATTGGATTTTTTTTTAAAGCTGTGCTGGTGGTATGAAAGACTTTGTTCCTAGCTGAAGGAGCAGCAAGCCTGTAATCAGCAACATAAGCACAGGGTAACTGCAGTCTGTATTTTATATAAATTTCAGGGAAGTTAAGGAAGATTAGTCTGAAAAAGTATGACTATGGGTGACTATGTATCCATCTAATGATTTCTGCCAGTTACCATCCAGACCTCTTACAGGAAGGCCTAATAACTTCTTCAACTTATTGGAAACAACTATTTGACAACTTTCCCCCAGATGTTAAGGTTCATTTATGTGAAGGGCTCTTCCTAAATCATGCATAGACACTGTGGGAGGAGTGCAAAGGCATGCACCCTTCCAAAACCAAGGCAAAAGCAGGGGTACTTTGCAAAGGATTCAATATTTTAGCCCAAGAGAACATTAAGCAACAAGCTCTTTCCTTCTATAGTGGCAGTGTGGACTCTAGAATTAGAAATTGCTTTTTGCAAGTTTTCGCTTAAGTATTTCACTGCCTTTCTGCTGAGCTGTTCTATGAAAGAGGGCTGTAGGTAGCCACGGTGCCCAGGTGGAACAGCATGATCCTAAAGCTCTACTTACACAAGGAATCGCAGCGGCCCATGGCCACGTGGTCAACCAGTCAACCCAGAAGATCTGCAGATGCAAGCAAAAGCACACCAAATTGACCTGCACCCTGCATCTGGACCCATCTGGCCCATGGTAAGGTGTCCCACAGTGAGGTATCACACCAAAGTACAAGCTGGCAGGGGCTTCAGCTCAGAAGAGTTAAGGGTGACCAGCATCCACAAGAGGGTAGAATAAGTCCACCACGTCCCTGTGGGCCAATGTTCAGCACCTGAAGGAGTAAGACTCCAAGCTCAACCTCTTCCCCAGGAAGCTCTTAGCCCCCAAGAAGGGAGACAGTTCTGAAAAACTCAAATCAGCCACCCAGCTGACAGGACCAATAATTCCCATACAGAATGTCTATAAGAAGGAGAAAGTCAGACTCATCACTAAGAACTTTAAGGTATTTGCCAGTCTTCACATGGCCCACATCAATTTTCAGTTCTTCGGCATATGGGTAAAAAGGGCCAAGGAAGCCACAGAACAGGATATGCTGAAAAGGAAAAATGAAGCCCTACTGGGGACTTGCAATATATCAGCAGTAAAGCTGGGTCTCCAAAAAAAAGAAAAAGCAGTTAACCAACAATCTCTCTGGGAGTTCAGAACTCAAGTCCAAGAAGTAGAAATGTGACTATCTGTTACAAGCTATTTTTCATATCATTGTTGTAAAGAACAATATGTTTATAAGTTCCCAGGGTGCCACAGGAAGAACACACAAAACCAACCACAAACCTGACTTATAGGGAACCACAGATAAGTGAGGTGGGTAGAGTATTGTAAAAGATGTAATGTGAACCCTCTTATAAAAATAATTTCAAATATTGAATAATGCAAGTACATAAGAGTTACCAACACCTTGACCAGGCGCAGTGGCTCGTGTCTATAATGCCAGTGCTTTAAGAGGCCAAGACAGGAGGATCACTTGAGACCAGAAGTTCAAGACCAGCCTGGGCAAACCAGTGACACCGTGTCTCTATTTAAAAAAAAAAACAAAAAACAAAACAAAACAAAAAAACAAAAAACTTACCAACACCTATGGAAGAGGCAAGGTTCCACACTGTGTGCTTGCCCATGGCAGACAAGGTAAGAGATAGACAAGTTGGGCAGGAAGCTGGGGTCAGGACCACTGCCCTCTACAGGTGGCCCGCAAGAAAAGATATGGGGTAGGTAGGCTCATACACTGCAACTTTGTTAACATGAGAAATCAGGCATCACATTAACTTTCCCTCCTCTCTTCAGAACCTTATGTTCATAAACACTGTTATATGAAGAAGTTGCCTTTCCTTTTCCTTGTCTTTTCTTTGCCTGGTCCATCTCTAGGTAAGGATTTCTTCCCTCACTCACCCTAGCCTCCTCCATGCCCTCACCTGTCTGACAATGCTCTGGATCAGTTTGTCCATGGTAAAGGCAATGTAGGCATGAATGGTGAACATCTCTCTCAGTGAATCTTCATACTGTGATGAGTCTATGTTGCCATCCAGCAGGCTCCGCACCATGTCCAGGAAAGCTGGGTAATAATCTTCTACATCAACATCCACTGTGGGAGAGATGGGATAGGTGAGGCCTTACCTTGCTAAGAAAAGACTAGGGATAGAGTACAGGGCAAATCCCACAGCTGGCCTAAATGGCATTTGAAAGTATGAACGCCAGGTATTCAAAATGTACTCACTCATTCCAATGTAAACAGAGATGAATTCTGACAGGTGACTACAATCACCAGCACTATCTATCAGAGAGTGACTGCAACTTTAACAGCGGCTTCTAATATTCTGACTGACCATGCTAGAAAGACAGTTCTTTATGGTACTGCTGGGCCATTTTAGCAGAGGAAAATATCCTAGGGAAGCCAGTCCGTCAAAGAGCTGTTGGCTCCCCTGCTGAGAGAGGAACCTGCTCTCCCAGACTGCACAAGAGCATTCCTCACATGGGTCACTTGCTCATAAAGCTATTTCAATGAAGCATAAAGTACAGATGAGAAAAGGCAGACACAGCCATACTCCAGCACTGGGAAACCTCTTGGGAACAGAAAAACAGGAGTGCAAATTAAATCCTTTATGAATAATGAAGTAATCTGCATTTGTCAAAGTCCTTTTGTTTAAACATGGATTTGCAACATTGTATTTCACAAATTGCATTAAATCATCTGTACTTACTGCACATGAATCATTTCAACCACTAGCTAGAATAAATCTCATCAGTTGTTAGAGACATTTGGCAACTAGCAGAGGGCACAAGGAATGTTAGAGTTTTGCCTTTAGTTTACTAAAGACTCATTTATATAAAGTTCGAAAATAGACAAATCTAATCTCTAGTGTTAGAAATCAAGAAAGTGGAAAAAGGATTGGTTATCAGAATACTGGTTATGTTTCGTTTCTTGAATATAGGTACGTCTAGTCTGTAAAAATTCACTGAGCTTCACAATTCTGATTTGTATACTTTTCTATATATATATGCTGAACCTTGTGTGTGTGTGTGTGTATATATATATATATATTTTTGTAGAGATGGGGTCTCACTTATTAACCAGGCTGTTCTCAAACTCCTGGCCTGAAGTGATCCTCCCGCATCGGCCTCCCAAAGTGCTGGGATTACAGGTGTGAGCCACTGCACCCGGCCTATACCTTGCATTTCAACAAACAGTTGACTAAAACGAAAAGAGTTACAAAACCAACTATTTGTCAGTGACTAATTGGTTACTTGCTAGTCGTGTTTGTGCTGGGGAAAAAATGCTAGGAGCAAAACCGAGTTGTCTCCATTTGTCTGAAGTCTGATGAATTCATTAAAAACAGGCAGAACAGGACAATTACTGTTTAAAAGAGGCAACTGGCTTGAGTTTCATCACAGAGTATCACATTGTTTAGGTCCATAGAATAGGTATGGGCTTTAGACTCCAAAATATACCACTGCTATGAAAACTGCTTTTATGCCAGAATGAAGTCTTGAGTCCAAACAAGCTATGGTAAATGTGAGGGTTGGCATTATCAGACAAGACAACATTACGTAAAGCCTCAAACCAGGTTAAGTCCATGGCCAAGCCAGGAATAAGCCATTTTATTTCTAATTTCTACCCAAGTAGATTGAATCACCACAATGAGGTCTAAAATTTATCTTTTTCAAGCTAGGACTAGTCCAGATAAAAGCTTTCAGAACTTCCAGTGTCATTAGCTCCTCAACAGATAGAAGGCTAAGGCCATATCTGGGCTTCCTACATCAGCAACACTTTAAAAAAAAAAAAAAAAGATACACTCCTCAGATTGACTATTTCCTTAAGAGCCCAGAAGAAATCCTTCATGAAAAAGCTTTTGGCTCATAGCTCAAGTACTTAATTTATGAAGTGAACTGGAAGCAGGCAGTACAAAATTACATAAAGCACATGACAGCGTCCTGAACCCTCACTTACTTTCCTTTTCCTGGGTTCTACATCTTTATCCCTGTCCTGCCTGTTCTCCATGTCTCACATCACCTCTTGAGTTCCAGTCTCCTTCGCATAAATTATTTCTACATATTAGGAATGAGCCATAAACCCTACTGGTTAAATGGAAGTCCTGCCCAAAAATATGAGAAAATTCTGTTTTAAGCACTAGGAATTTATGTTCTGTCATGGATTGAAATTGACTGTGACAGTTTAGTCTCTATCTGTACTTTGAAACAGCTGGCAGTAACCTAGAAATCTGCCATTTGACAAATTAACAGCGATACCCCTTTCCCTGGTATGTCCACAACACCAACTACTGACCAAGTGTCCATGATCTAAGCCCTGCATAGGATACTCTGCACAAAGCAACAGCACAAAGCAACTAGCATCTCCATTTTTCAGATAAACAGGTTCAGAGAGTTTAACCAACTACACAGACTCTAAGGCCTGTGCTCTATTAATAAAAGAAGCAGTCCCAAGTCTAGGTAGCTCTAAGGTCCTCAACCTCACACATCCTCTGTAAATCAAAGGTCTCAGCACTCACTAGGTTCTTTGAGACGTAGCTGAATGGCAGGGCTGTCACTCTTGTCTCGCTTTATGCCCAGCACTTCCCGTTCCCATTCTCTCTCTCGGTTTTCTTCTTCAATTTGTCGTTCGGCTTGGGAACAAATCCGTAGCAGCCTCAGGCAGAGAATCTGGTGCAGTCGCATAAAAATATACCAGTTGTTATTGACATAGAAGAGGTTGTATACTTCATCCATTCCTCTTAATTTTTGAGCTGCTGTGTTACTAAACAGTAACTTGGACTTAGGGGGACTGCTCCCAACACCATTGTGCTTCTTAACTGCCCCTGTGGCTTCATCTACATCCATCTCTTCTTCTTCCTCTTCCTCCACATCTGAGAGATCACCTCTTTGGGCAAAGAGCAAATCTGGAATAAAATGATGCATGATTTGTTTTATCTTATACTTGTCCTCCTTCTGAATGCCTGTCTGCCTCTTCACATGGTGGATAATCAGAGCAGCAGCATCTTCCAGTATTTGTTTGTCTTCATACGCAAGTGAGAGGTGTGGGCCAACAGGTACACCAGCATTCTCCTCCGTAGCCTGCTCTTGCCTCTGATGGGACAGAGACACAAAAATATTCTGTGAGGTGTCTACAGCGACAACATGCCTACGAGACCACACCAGCCATACATCCCATTATCAACTACAGTGTCTATGTTTTTCTAATAAAGAACTTAGGACCTGGGGTTGGGAGCGGTGGCTTACACCTATAATCCCAGCACTTTGGTAGGCCGAGGAGGGCGATCACTTGAGGTCAGGAGTTTGAGATTAGCCTGGCCAACATGGTGAAACCCCATCTCTACTAAAAATAACAAAATTAGCTGAACATGGTGGTGGGTGCCTGTAATCCCAGCCTTCGGGATGCTAAGGCAGGAGAATCACTTGAACTCATGAGGCAAAAGTTGCAGTGAGCCGAGATCGTACTGCTGCACTCCAGCCTGGGCAACAGAGTGAGACTCTGTCTCCAAACAAAAAACAAAAACAAAACTTAGGGCCGAACCGTAACAATAATTTTGTCCCTCTTCCAGAAACAAATAGGTAATGACGGAGATGTGGTTTGATGTCAAAATACAGGTACCTTCTATACACCAATGACTTACAGGGCGAGTGGGACAGAACTGGAGCCATCTTTCTTTTTCTTTTTTTTTTTTTTTGACAGGGTCTCGCTCTGTCACTTAGGCTGGAGTGCAGTGGAGCAATCCTGGTTCACTATAACCTCCATCTCTCGGGTTGAAGCCATTCTCATGCTTCAGCCTCCTGCGTAGCTGGGATTACAGAAGTGTGCCACCATGCCAGGCTAATTTTTGTATTTTTGTTAGAGATGAGGTTTCACCATGTCCCCAGGCTGGTTTCGAACTCCTGGCCTCAAGTGATCTGCCCACCTCAGCCTCCCAAAGTGATGGGATTATAGGCGGAAGCCACTGTGCCCCGTGGGACTATCTTTCAAAATTCTGGACTAGTATTTATATAGAGGATATGATATGAGGTCTGTAACTTACTTCTGGGGTGGGGGTACGGAGGGTGACAAAGTAACATCAGCAAAATATGGAGGATTAAGTTTATTTATTTTATTGATTTTGAGACAGAGTCTTGCTCTGTCACCCAGACTACAGTGCAGTGGCATGCTCTCAGCTCACTGCACCCTCTGCCTCCCGGGTTCAAGACATTCTCCCACCTCAGTCTCCCAAGTAGCTGGGCCTACAGGTGCATACCACCATGCCCGGCTAATTTTTGTATTTTTAGTAGAGACGGGGTTTCATCATGTTGGCAGGGCTGGTCTCTTAACTCCTGACCTCAGGTGATCCGCCCGCCACGGCCTCCCAAAGTGCTGTGATTACAGGTGTGAGCCACTGTCCCGGGCCTGATTGAGTTCACATAAGAGCTCATTTTACTATTTTTAAAATTCAGGATCACCCCACTCCAGGAATTCCCAATTGCACTGCATTTATGTTTCTATCCATCTGCTAAAACTGAGCCCATGGAAACCAGAATTGATTGCTTATTCATCTCTGATCCTAGATCCTAGTACTATTTATAGTTCTAGTAGGCATGCTGAATAAGCAAGGATTACAAAGAGTTTGGTGGTCAATGACAAGTTTTGAAGCTATAGTAAGGAGAGATGGGACTATATGAATACAAGGTATTGTTTGAGGGAAACAGGCAGTGGGAGAAGTGGAAAATGGAGGCAGAAGGTATAAGTTGAAACCAGGATAGTAAACTAGGGAAGTAGTCAAATAGCTTAGGTATAAAGGTGAAGTTTAGATTTAAAATAGTAGAATGAGGAATAGAAAAGGCTATGACAGCTATAAAGCAGGAATCAACAGGTCTTAGAGAGTCTCACCTGCATTTAACAAAGGTAATTTCCAGAAATCAAAGCTGTGCTAAACATAGACTAGAGTCCTCTCACAGATGTAGAAAACCCCAGCTCACCTCATCATAGATACTCTCAATCTCATTGAGTAAGCTCTTAGACCTCAGGACCTTTGTGTCATTCTGTTTAAAGTTGATCCCCTGGTGGTCCAGAGACTTCAAGTAGTATTTCTCATTTTGTTCTCGCCATACTTTGTTAAAGCCTCGCTGAGCTTCTCGCCATTCTTCCTCTTTCATCTTCAACCTAGTGAAGTGGGAAGGGATGGAAACAACACATGGGAATTCAGAGGGTTTAGAAGAAAGAAATTTGCCAGGTTTACTTTCTTTCAAGAAAAGTCAAAGCTATATGAGGTCCGTCAAAATTATTGGCAACTTGGGATGTTATCAAACCAGTCTTGAACTCTGTTTCATGAGGAAATTACTTATCTAAGACTTATTTTGGGGAAATGAGTTATCTCAAAGTCAAATAATTTACCTAGAATGGTTACTTATCAAACAGCATTCCAGGGAATACCTTTGAGATGTAAGTATTCCTTGCAAAAAGAGTTCTTGTTTCTCTGCTGTAGGACTTTGTAAAATGTTCACAATGCTAATAGAAACACAGAAGTCCAAGAGCAGAGAACTTGCACAGTTATGTTCCTCTGGATACAGTCTGGAAAGTTCTGATCAGAACTGATTCTAATAAACCAGAAGAGAACAGGCTAAGACAAAGAAACAGCACTAAAACTGAAGAATAACCTATATTTCAAAAGCCAGAAGTTAAATACTACAGGCAAGAAGAAGAAACCATCAATCTGTGCCAGCTCTTGAGGGGAAGATGAGGGAGGACAAATAAAATCTGGGTATTTGTGAACTGTGCAGCAACTAAGAATTAGTTTTTACCAGATGATACTGAGAGAATCAAGCTCCTAACAAAGGATTTACAGTGTGGTCAATAATGACATGGGGCTGGGCATGGTGTGGCTGGTGCCTGTAATGCCAGCACTTTGGGGAGGCCAAGGCAGGAGGACTGCTTGAGCCCAGGAGTTAGAGGCCAGCCTGGGAAACATAGCAAGACCTTATCTCTATTAAAAAAAAAAAATAAAATAAAAATTAGCTGGGTGTGGTGGTGTACTCCTGTAGTCCCAGCTATTCAGGAGGCTGAGGTGGGAGGATCACCTGAGCCTGGGAAGTTGCGGCTGCAGTAAGCTGTGTTCTTACTACTGCACTCCAGCCTGGGTGAAAGAGAGAGATCTTGTCTCAAACAAACAAACAAACAAACAAAAAAACCACAAAGATGTTAACAACAGTTAGTCCTGAGCGTGGCAGGAACATGTGTGGTAATTATCTTCTTTTCTGTATTTTAAAATATTCCCCCAGGGTTGGGGAGAAAGAGAGGTCTCATGGGACAACCAAGTTGAAAATGAGAGACTTATTTAATGGGACACTGAACCAGTAATGAAGTACACACTAAAGCACTAAGGGCACATTTGCTCAGGTACCTTTTAAGGACAATCGGAACAGCAATGGAGGGATTCTTTCTCAGACCATCAATGATGTCAGCTGCTTTATCAGCATATATCCTCTGGAGTGCTTTTCTATGGATGACTTCTGATGTGCCCCCAAGGGTGTTGTCCAAGCGAAATTTGGCTTGTTCCTCAGCAGACAAGCGGGAAAGCTTCTTCTGTATTGCTTCCAGAACCCGGATTGTTGCCAGATTGGTCTCTAAAACTACATCAAGCTGAAGAGGAAGACAAAGAAGGGTATGCTCAGGACCCAAATCAGAATAGAATAGAGTAGTGATTAGAAAAATAAGGTAGAGAGTCAAACTCCTTGGATTTGAATCCTGGTTCTGCCCTACTAGCTACATAAGACTGTTTCTTTATCAGCAAAATAGGGATAACAGCACCTATTACTCTCACAAGCCTATTTCTGGATTAAATTATACAATCCACATAAAGTATTCAGCGCAATACCTGGCACATAAGAACCACAGGATGAAGCTGGATAAACGGTAGTTATCACCACCACCACCTGCACCGTGTGCTTTGCTTAAGACTACTGATCTTAGACCGGAGGAACCTAACAAGAGATGACTTTACTGATACTTTTCCCTGAACTTTCCTGAATTGCTAAGATCCGTTATGAACAAACAATAACAATCAAAACAATACCAAAAGACGGCTCTGTCTTGAGAGTTTTTTTTTTTAACTTGAAATATTTAAATATATTCAAATACTAAAATACTCAATAGCCTTGTTCCACATCCAGTAATAATAAGAGCAGTGACTATCATACCCTAAGGAGTTCACTGTTGTATCTGCGGGTAATGATTTAAATTCTTATTGGACTCCTAAAAGAACAGTCTACAACCAAATGTTTGCAGAAGTGTTCCCTAAATTTTCTTGTTTTGGAAATGTAGTCATCATTTTGTCAATACTTCTGGCCCCTCTTGCTCTCCAATTACCGACAAAAAATGGACTAACTTCCTGACTCCCTTATGATTGGATAGGGTCATGTAACTAGTTCTGACAAATGAGTTGTTATGAGTTGAGAAGAAGTAATGTTTATCACTTCTAGGCTGGAGCATTTAAAGGTGTGAGATCCTTCTGAGATCTCTTTTCCTCCTAGTGACTAGCAACAATCATAATGGTGGCAATCCCTTGGCCTGAATCCCCAAGTGATTCTGATATGCCAAATCCCCTGCTAAACATCAATGTACATGTAGAATGATTAGAAATTAAACCCATTGGCTTTACAAGTCTCTCAGATGTGGGAGCTGTCTGTACTGAAGCATTACTAACCTATCTTAATTGGTAAACATGTTCCTTCAAACTCGCTCATCCCACCAAATCTTAAACACATGCTTACCCCACTTCTTTCATCTTTGCCCTTGTAGTCATAAATGGGAAATGAAGTTGCCTCTCATTTGGAAGCATACCAGTTGAGAGGGGATAGGAACATTCTGTCAAAAACAGATGCCAAGCTCTGCTAACTCATCAGCTAACCTTACTAAACATAAGTAACAAAGAAATGCTAGCTTTTTTTTTTTTTGAGACAGATCTCGCTCTGTAGTCCAGGCTGGAGTGCAGTGGCGCAATCTTGGCTTACTGTAAGCTCCGCCTCCCGGGTTCACACCATTCTCCTGCCTCAGCCTCCTGAGTAGCTGGGACTATAGGCGCCCGCCCCCGCGCCCGGCTAATTTTTTGTATTTTTAGTAGAGACGGGGTTTCACCGTGGTCTCAATCTCCTGACCTCGTGATCCGCCCGCCTTGGCCTCCCAAAGTGCTGGGATTACAAGCGTGAGCCACCGCGCCCGGCTGAAATGTCTTCTTTAGCTTGATAGCACTCCCTATGGAAGTTAACATCTGTCATGATTTAGTTTTCTGCAAATAGGTGCAACTACTTATAAATGCTGGGGCAAAGATGGCCAACCACCTGCCAGTGGCCAGACAGCATGTGGCTCTTAATTAAAAACACACCAGAAACAGCTGAAGCAAGTGTGAGGCTGGAAAGCTGGCAAAGAGCTAAAAGAGTACTTAAAAAACAAAAACAAAAACAAAAACAAGATACCTATCCATACAAATAAGCACAGCCAGTCAATTTAATGTAATAGATACACTAAATAGGATACATGTCATTTTACCTCTTTAGACAAACCAGACTTCCCTTTTTTAAAATGATAATGTAAACCAGACATATAAACACATTGGGGATTTTGAGCCCACTTTCAGTAGTCCCCCTCCTGATACAGGTGGTATGGGGCCCTCTACCACCTCATTTATTCACTCCACTCTTCCCTTCCTAACTACTTCAAAATAAAGTTCCTGGGACAGGCGCAGTGGCTCACGCTTGTAATCCCAGCACTTTGGGAGGCCAAGGCAGGTGGGTCACTTGAGGTCAGGCGTTCAAGACCAGCCTGGCCAACATGGTGAAACCCGTCTCCACTAACAATACAAAAAAATTTAGCCGGGTATAGTGGCATGCACCTGTAGTTCCAGCTACTTGGGAGGCTGAGGCAGGATAATGGCTTAAACTCGTGAGGCAGAGGTTGCAGTGAGCCGAGATCACACCACTGCACTCCAGCCCGGGTGACAGAGCAATACTCTGTCTTTAAAAAAAAAAAAAAAGAGAGGAGAAGAGAAGAGACGAGAGAAGAGGGACGAGAAGGAGGAGAGGAGAGGGAAGAGAGAGAGAAGGAATATGGTGGGGGTAGGCCCCTACTAGCTGACT